TGGATGATCGAATGGGTCTCTACTTTTAAGTTTGATACTTCCAATACTCTTTGGGTGCAATAACATTGGAAAGATGAGTATTTCATTGTCATCGGATCGATGCGCTGCTACTTCCAATACCTGTTGAATCATGTCATAAATTTATAAAATAAGATGTGATATGATTGCCAATGAGGCAACTATCACCCAGACACCATATGACGTAGATGTTTGCAACTATAGGTCACCATAATGCTTTCAACATTGAGCAAATATTAAACCGCTTAAAAGCAATATAAGGCCCCGACATGACAGATGTAAAACAATTCAAACGAGCAATCCAATTGATTGGTCAATGTACAAAACAATAATCGAACAAGAAATATGTTACAGCAACAACAACCAATGAGTTACAGCACATACGAAATATAATATGGCTTGGTTAAACATGTTTCCAGGTGTTCAACGCTCGCTCTTCACTAGGACAGTGGCGTAACAGCACAACAACGATCAAACTGTAATTAAACAGATCATTTGAAATAGGCTGAACTAATCAGAGCTGTACAAAGTACAAAAACAGATAAAGAAAACTAAGGACACTAAGTACCAATCTGAGAGTACTGGCAGTTACCGATGGCTAGTTCAAAGCCAATAGCAATAAATAAAAATTCCAAAAGGAAAGTATTCAGTGCTATTGTTCTTACTTAATAATTATCAATGTATGATATCAATATATTATCGAAGACAACATATAAATCAGTACAATTGCTATGGGTAAAGTGTGAAAACTTAAAAATACAGTCTTTGTGTCTTTGTGTTTTGTTAGTTTTTGTGCGCTTTTCATCAATCTGGTGAATTATGCCGTGTTCAACTTTCCTTTCTTAATGTATACTATATTTGTTTTTTGTTTATTGTTTTGTACATAAATCAGACTGTTAGTTTTCTCGTTTGAATTGTATTATATTTTCATTTCTGGGATTTTTATAGCTTGCTATGTGATATTGGTTTTGCTCATTGTTGAAGGCCGTATGGTGACCTATTGTTGTAAACGTCATTTGCTTTCTGTCAGAGAGTTGTCTCATTGGCAATCATATCACAACTTTTTTAATTTTTTCTAAATATACCAATTTTACAACTGATTATTGCTTATTTGTATTGTTCGATTTTCTTTCTTTGTTTCCGATAGAAAAAGCAGACAATGACAGGAATGAACGAGCCAAGAGACAAACAAACAAACAGAAAAACAACCTTCCTAAAAACTTTGAACAAAACAAAACAATTGTCAAAAGTGTATTTATTGCACGCCAAAATATTTCCTGATTTTTTTGTTATGCATTGCGTAGTCAGACATAATTTTGGCAAAAACTTTTCATTCCAAGAATTCCTAATTTGAATAACTGGGTATAAATGTGTTCCATTTTGGTTAATGCAGTATATATGACGTTTAATTTTGAGTTATACAATTGTGAAAGCGAGGTTGATAAACGTTCATTGATTTTTATAGATTACTGTTCATCGCTAAACTTATCACCCCTATCAGCACATTCTAACAGTTGAATCTTTTTTAATAAAGAGATTCTACAGTTCTAACCATGGCAAGTTGTCTTGCAGCATTTTGGTTTTAACAGGTATAGGGAACATAAGGATTATGTGCAGTAAAGTTGTCTGGATAACAAGGGAGAGAATTAAGCTATTTTTTTCAGTCTGGTCCTTCTTGACCACTCGGTCTACATGGCCAAACAAACAATTAAATTTTATTGAGTTACATCTAAAGATTGACAATGGGGTCGGTTAAGAACAAAACTCTACGCCAAAAGAGATAATTTTAGCTTCCCATTGTGAAATTTCTATTTCTATGTAGCAGCATTCCAGCAGCACCTGCATATAGAGTATATATATCTCCATGTTGATACGTTAAACTAGAGCTCGCATTTCCTATCATGATAGACGGTGTATGCTTCCAACGAAGCTATCAACCCAAAGTTCAAAGTTGAAATCATCCCTTCGAACATTTTACGGACGACATTCGAATTGGTTGACCTTTCGAAGATGACGACGGAAATGTTCAAATTGTTGTTACCACAACCCCGTCCTCGCTTCATCTCACGTGACCTAACGAATTAGATTTATCACTCGGTTTGCACTTACATGAGCAACAATACGGGTGCCACTTGTTGAGTAAGATCTGCTTACTCTTTCGGAGCACCTGATATTACTCCCAGTTTTGGTTGAATTCGTGTTGCTCAGTCGTAAGTGTTCTATGTTGTGTTTTGTATACTTTTGTTTATCTTTTGTTCGTTTTTTCGAATACCACAGATTACAAAACACACCAGGAGACAGTTGGTATATGTACCATTAATATGATTTCTAATTTGGAACACACATGTTAAAATTAAACAAAGCAATCAAATATATACATGAAAGTATCCAGTCTTTTAGGGAATTTAAATCTTACATAAATGAGTATCTTTATCATATATGCATTGGGTAGGATATTGGGATGTTATTAGTTACATAGTGTGCTAGTGACCTAATACAATATATATGGAATTTACTGACCCCATATATATCGTATTAGGTTACTAGCACACTGTGTAACGAATTTATCTTACCGACTATCTTAGCAAGTGGTATTTAGACCAGTGGCATATCAAAGTGTTTAATTCAAAACTTAGTATTAACACGTACTTCCAATTGTCTATACAAAAACAAATGCCAACAATGACAACTTGTTAACTTTAAATGTGTTTTATGAATTTATTTCAATCTTCAACACCGTGTTGTTTTTATAAATGGACGTAACATCACTACTAACCGGGTATTGAAATAAACCCCGCATACTAACCTAATATGAAATATACACAGTCTCCACGCGGTTGCTTTTAATCAATCATATTCCTAGAAATGTATAGGGGTAAGATGAAACAAATTACACTTCATTTCTGTCAATTTTTATTTATAACATGTTAAAACCTTTCGTCACAATAATTCTATTAATACAATATATATATAGGCCTAGCCAGCGTTGGCAAAACTTTTTTTATTTAAATTATAATCCTCTCAACTCATTTAAATAACATAAATAAGGCCACTGACGAATCTAATATCTAATTGTGACAAAACTCGCGTACAGCATATTTAATTCTGGTATATGTGAGTAGTTTTTACCATAAAGTGGCATAATAATACGGGCATATTACTCACCGAGACATTAAAATTAAATATTAAGCCTGTATTAGCAGGTACGTCGTTTCCTTTAGATGTTCCACTGTAAAACTGTAGTTGATAATCAGGATAAAGTAAGGAATGGTTACGTTGGGTACTTTTGTCGAATAAAAGTGCTTCGTTACCAGCGAAAGAAAATATTCCTGATAAAAATAATGTGTAAAGTAAATAAGCATGACTTGTAAGCTGACATTTTATTGCATACTATGACATTATTTTTGAAATTCTGCATCACTTGTTCGAAAAAAAATCGAACGAATATTAGTTGTCATCAATTTCGTTTGCATTCACCCTTTATTATAAGGACACTTTTTTTTCTAATGTTATTCTGTGTTTGATTTGATAAATGAAATATCTAATTAACAATTTTCTTGGACATATTTTGGACTTTATGAACGTGACGGTTTATCAAATTCGTAAAATATATTGATGTTGTAATTCTCCTGTATATTTCCTTTGATCTGTGTGTTTAGTGGGAAGAGGATTAACAGCAAATATGCTGAACTTCATAGTGAATACCTAACACAAAGTTGGAATGCGCTTCATTTTGTTCACAACATCGAACGTGAAAGGAGTTTCAGCTCCAAATTAATGCCCATCATATCTTTTTAAAATCAAAAATAGATTAATATATTTTAATACGTAGTAAAGAATTGCTCAAGTTCCAAAGAAAGCAATACACAATGTCTTGAACATTTTGTGTGTATTCATATGATTAACTATAGACACCATTCAAGAAAACTGTCGATGTGCATGTGACTCTGTTACCCACCTACCTTTAAAAAGCAGACAGGTAAACATAAATACATATATACAGGTGTGGACGTGCAATAATATATGGTTGTTTTTTCTAGTTGTTTTTTTTAATTTCATTTCAGAGATAAAAACTATGTAGTTTAATGTAGATTATATTCTCATAACCTGTATAATACAGATTTGTTTACGGGTCGAATCTATCGATTAAATCGTTCATCCTTAGTTTGACTTCTCCATATGATATTCGTTTCAATCACTGGACGTTCTAAGCAAAAGACCTACCAATCTCCAACAATAGTTTAAACAACGGTCACATTGATAATTAAATAACCTAAATACGGTTGAACTATTGACTTGCAAGCAAATTTATATCTGTGATGTGTTTGAGCTATTTTAACAAAATAGAACTAAATTAACTGCTAATCATGCTAATAGGTAAAGATCATTTCAATTTTCCGCTTTTATAAATTTTTGAAAGAAAACAAATCCTATTTTCATTTTTTGAAAGAGTTTGATATGGCACCCTACGGAATCAATTATATTATGTTATTTTGTTGCTTTTGTATCGTAGGGGGTACTTAATGAAAATTAGAAAAATTATAAAATTACCAAACTCCAAGGAAAATTCAACACGCAAAGTCCTAAAATAAAGGCTACAGTAGTATACGGCTGTTCACAAGTCATAAATCGATTGAGAGAAAAAACAAATCCGGGTTACAAACTCAAAATTTGTGCGCTCAAATATCCATTTTTTATTGCTCAAATGTTCTGCCATTTCGCTCAAATGATAATTCAAGTCAACATATAAGGCACTGATACATGAAGAAAAGACGTCTGGACTACATTTTCCCTGTTTAAGTCTTATGCCGACGTAATGCGCGTTTGTTGTACTAAATTATAAGACTTGATTCTTTGATAATTGTTTTCTACTAAAATCTTTAAAATGTCAAACTTCTTTGTTTTCATAAATAAGGATTTGTCTAGGTCAATGAATATAATGTGTTACATAAACATGCTATAATAAAAGTTATCACATTTCATTCTAATGTTTAAATTATCGATACGACTACACACATTTTATTTGAATTATTAATTTTCAACATTGATACTACGATGGTTGTTTGTATTTGCCAATGGATAATTGTTGTTGGCCTGCTCAATATTTGTTTTATAGGTAAATAAACTTTTGATAATCCTTTGTTGTGAATGTCTAAAACTATTTCAATTCTTTTTTCTAGTTTGGTGTCAAATTAATTATTATTATTTTAGACATTCTGGAAATATCAGCAATATAATGTTTCTGTGGAGATTTGAATTATTTCACGTCGTACGAGAAAATTTAATTACAGACATGAACAGTTATAGAGGCCTTTATATATAAAATCGGAATAGAGGTAACCATACTTGCCATTTTGAAATAAGACATATGGAAAATTGTTTTGAGTAATGAACAAAAGTTACTTTTTTATTTTCAGATGTGTAGGAGACAGTTTATATCTAGGCCATCAATAATCTTAAAATAGAAGTTACAAAATGTTTTTAGACAGGTCGCCCGATGAAGGTTTTTTTTTTTTTTTTTGTCGTATATTTCATTATGATATTTTATTGCAGATGGTCACAATGACCACATGTGGGTGAAATATCGAAACAAGGACTTTATGCTAGTCCATCAAAAAATGACATGGATGGAAGCTCAGGTATAATATCATTCAATAGTGGCTTAGTCAATGAAATGTGTGGAAAGGGTGCAATATGGCACCATACGGAATAAACTTGTATTTTAACATTATCAGATTCTTTATTCCACTATTTAGTTTGATAAGCTTTTGTGTTCATTTAGTATGTTGGGGATGCGATATTAAACTTTGGCAAAATTTGTAAACCCATATGACAATAACACTAAAATTTCGCTTATGTTCTAGGTTGATTTTTTGACGAATGCAATATACTTGTACTTGGCTATAGTTTGGTATCATGACATGATAAAACATAGCTTTTCCTTACATCGCTATGGTGTCAAAGAAATTTTAGTATGCAACAAAAAATGGATTTTGAAATTTCTGCTTTATATTCTATCAGTTAGGAAATTACATAGATAATACAATAATGTTTAACAAAATGCCAACACGTTACTTGTTATAGATTTACAATTTTAGAGTGTATGTTATTCACTTGGCGGCTTTCTTGCAACTGTATCGAATTCTGATGACATGAAGTTTATCAAGTCAATGACAAGCGGTAAGTTCTATTCTTCATTTTCATATTGGACTAAGTTTGCACCATTACATTCATTAGACAATCTCTATCTTGGTTATATTCTTTTAAAAATCAATTGGCTCGGTGTGTTTTGTTTAATATATACAGAGATTCTACTGAAAAGTAAAGGTAGCACTAGACCACCGAAAGCTGAATTATTAGTCCAGTCTAGGCGGCCGAATGGTCTAGATCGATGGACACAGTGCTTGCGGTGTTGCCTCGTTATCACAAAGCATGAGTTTGAATCCTGGCGAGGAAAGAACAAATTTTTTTTACTGCAAAATTGCAGATTTTACATTGTTGTGTTGATATTTAGTGTAGTTATGAATATAAAATGTGTTTGCAGCCGTGTATCACCTCCACTGGTGATCCAATGAATGGATCTGTCGTAGAGTTGTCACCTGTTTAGACGTACTAATCAAATAATTATTTCTGTGTCTGTATCTTACGATCCTTTTCGATGGATATTTAGCTAATCTGCAACCAATTCCATCTTCATGCCTAATATATCATGTACTGTGTTACAACTCTATATTCTACTGACGAGGAAAGGTAATACTAGGCCACCGAAAACTGAATTATTAGTTCAGTCTAGGTGGCCAAGTGGTCTGGAGCGATGGACACAATGCAGGCAGTTTTGTCTCGATATCCTTGAGCTCCAATCCCGGCGAGGGAAGAACAAAAAAAAAGTGACGTTTTTTTGTGACGTTTATATTATCACAGGTAAATTTGTAAAAACAGGGAATAGATTTGTTTTGTTATAGACACGCAAAAGAGTTTAAAATTGAGAGTAAGTTTGTAATGATGTAATTGTTTATATTTTCTAACCATGTCGGTTTTTTTTCTAAATCAAAACTGTAAAAGCCAACAGCAGTTTTCGTTTTGCTGATTTTCATCAAAGTGAGGGAAACATAGTAATATATATATTACATAAGAGTCTATTGAAAACAACCAACCAAGAAGTTCAAAAGGTAGTCTAAGGACAATTCAACAAAAACACAAGACACAATACTTGCATACACACATTATATACATATATCAGGCTGTTTTTATTTTTCCCAATACAAAAATCTATTTGTTGTGCGATTATTCAATGAATTAATCATCTGAACGCAAGAAATTTGTGATATAACTACTACGCCACCTTAGTACAGAAAATAATTTATTGACGATTGTGAATGGGTTATAAGTTATAACTACATTAAAAACATTTATAAGTTTTAAATACATTAAAAAAAGTTGAAATTCTGAATTTAGGAAAAGGCAGAATTTGGTGATAAAATCTGTTAATTGAACATTTTGCAACACTTTAGTTTTACTCTTAAAAGCGAATTCAGGTATTCAGGTATTCCATCCTGTTTATAGCCCTTATATATTTATATCACATACATGTAATGAATATCATATACAATAAGTATTTTAATTTTCATTGTATCGGATCATTTTTGAATTAGGGCTTAACATATTTGAAAACAATGAACAACCAACAATTTAAGCTCTCTGTTTTATAATTGGAAAGTTTTTCCAGTGTACTCTTATCTCATTTCCATGTTTGAACATACATTGATTTTTCTTTTCTTACTTTTAAAATTTATTCCATGCACAGTATACCCTAACACGGTTTGGTTGGGCGGTACAGACATGTTTGCGGAAGGAAGATGGGTTTGGATAGAGAATTTAGAGCCAATATCATATAACCACTGGTATATGGGTAGTCATCAACCAGCCGGAGCATCGGCAGAGAATTGTTTGATTTGGCATAACAGTAATGGATATTTTTGGCATGATGTTACCTGCAAGTCTAACTACAAATTTGTTTGTCAGCGGTAGGTACTTATTCATTGAGTTTAATGTAATTTTTCCATTGTCTTTTGTACAGTCTCGCACTTTGATAACCAAATATTGATTGGTTTGACATTATTCAATCAGTTCTAAAATAGCATTAATCTTGTCTTTTTAAAAGAATAAAATAATAAATTGGAAATATCGACATTTCATACAAATTAAAAGGACAAATAATCGAGAACATCATTTATTAGTAAACATGTTTTGTTTTTTGTTTTCAGTTATACAAAGAGGAAAGAACAATGAACAGTGAAGAAATATTTTATTATAGGATTCAAATAAAATAGAAGAATAACATTGTTTTGATTGATGGTATAATATGTCGTTGTCAAACAAAATGATAACGTTTGTGTCCAAAATGTTGTAGATCAGCGGTCCCAAAAAACTTTTATTATAAAAAGTAAATTGTCTTAACAAAAGTTTTAAATATGTATTCTGTTCAGCTGGCAACAGAGGTAAGTCCGATTCCCAATATGAAATACAAGGTATTCCTGTCTACATAAACTATCAAAACACTTGGAGAGAACTAAGAAAGTGGTGGAAGTTAATTTCAGTTAGTTTAAATCTCGGTAGGAATATTCAGACAATAGAACTTTGCTTGCATATTTCAACACTAAACGATGTTTTTCTTGTTGATGTAAGCAACGTTAAGTCTCCTTCAAATATCCTAGTCAAATACTAGTATTCAAATCAAACAGATTTAAACATAATAATGAAAAATGGAACCTACAGAATTAGCTGGAGATTTAAAAGAACTCTAAAAAGGCACTACAAATACTCCTTTTGTAAAAAAAATATTTATAATAGGCTGGATGATAAATTGTTTTCTTATAAACTGCTGTCTTCTGTGTAGGAACCAAGTCATGTTGTCTGGATCATGTGTTGTTAGCTGTTGTTTCTTTCATTGTTTGTCTGGTTTGTGTTTGGGTTGTCAGTGGTTGGTGTGATTTGTTGTACTGTGTGGTAATATTTACGATTGCAGTTTTCCATAAACTGTATTGGTGACATAAATCTAATGTTTTTTTCATTAAAATGAAATCATCAAACGGTAGTTGCACCGAGCACATTTGTACGTTTAACTGTTTTAATGCGGAAATCTGATTCTTAAAGTCACCTTATAACATATAATTACAATTGCAATTAACAAAAGCATTTTAATAGAACAGCGTCTCAACATTATGATGTTAAAATCATAAAACCTAATATATCATCTAGAACAAGACTAAACAAAACAAAATACTTGCATGTGTTTTTACATTTTAATGTGAAAAAATAGTTTTGAATGACATCCTGATGATTATTCTTTTCTATTGTACTTTCGATACTGATATAATAAAGATATATTTTATCAGTAGCTGTTTGATTTGTCTTTGTATGTCTTATTTCATTTATTCAATGGTCTTCATCTTGTATTAAAAATGTCTTAGTTATTTTCAACTACAGAACACAAACATTTGGTTTAAAAGTCGATGTTGTAATATATAAATAATAGGTTGTAGTATTGATGCCAATAAGACGAATACATTTCAAAGACTGAATACTAGTACTCCCAGAAGGGCCAACAATAATAAGCAAAACATATATCGTACTAAAAGACCCTGAAAATACAAGCAATATAATTAAAACGAAACGTCAAAGCTATACACAAAAACTAACAATGCCAAACAGCAGCAAACGACCACAACTGAATTACAGGTTCCTCACTAAAAACCTAATCATATTTACCTCCTACCCTGGAACGGTGATTTAACAGCTGTAGTTGTTGGCTAATTAGATTGAAACAAATCATAGTTAAAATAAACAACAACAAAAAAGTGTGAGGTTTAGCTAGCTATAAAACCAAGTTCAATCAACCAATCTCTAAATACGAAAATGCCTGTACCAAATCCGGAATATGACAAATGATATGCATTCATTTGATGTTTTGAGCTTTTGATTTTGCCATTTCACTACGCGGACTTTCCGTTTTTTTTTCCTCGGAGTTCGATATTTTTGTTATTTTACTTTTTTAACGTCATTTTCCTTTGTCGATTTGGGTTTTTGTTTTTTCGTTCCAGTTGCTTAGAAAAGAAACACGTCGAATTCTGGTAAATAAGGAATTTGAGTGCATTTAAAACTCATTCAGATGGTCATTATATTAACCTGATTCACTATCATAGAATTTATCGTACTTTAATCTCACAAAATATTTTTTTTTGCAACAACGTCTCTCCCAGATATTTGTTAGCATATCATAATTAGGATGTAACATTGTTCATGGTATCTTTCATATAAGTATATTACTAAAGTCTAAGCTGTTTAATCTGCTTCCTATATTTGATGACTGTATCCTTGCCACGTATAAGATCAGCAGCCTTTTCAGCAATCATTATTGTTGGTGCATTTGTATTTCCAGACGTCACATGTCTCATCACTGATGCGTCTGCAATTCGTAAATTTCGTATACCTTTGACTCTTGAGAAATGAAAAAAAAAACAATATTCAAATTATTAATGTAACGATATTAATTTAAAATCAAACAAAGACACTTTGTTTTGGTAAGTCTATTGAATGTACATAGGAATATCCTTTTCTGCTGTTAACACTACTATCTGTGACAACGAGATGCAAAACACATGCATTGTACAATGAAAAAAAATGTTCTTAATATAATCAACCTGCTAAGCCCGAATTCGGGTGCAGGATTTCTCGCTGTGTTTAAGAACCAATGGTAGCATACGGCCGTCTTCTGCTCTTTAGTCGGGTTGTTGTCTCTCTGACACCATCCTAATGTCCATTCGCAATATCAATGAATAAATGGACCTACCCAGCGTTGGCGAAATGTCTTTTATTTTCTACTTATAATCCTCTCATCTCGTTTAAATAAGACAAAATATGCTATTGAGAAATTTTATTGTGACAAAACTATCATATAAAATATTTAATTGTGGTATGTGTGGGTAGTTTTTACAACAACATTGCATCATAAAAGAAGCATATTACTCACCGATTCATTAAAATTAAATGTTAAGCCAGTATCAGCAGGTACGTCGTTTCCTTTAGATGTTCCACTGTAAAATTGTAGTTGATAATCAGGATAAAGTAAGGAATGGTTACCTTGGGTACTTTTGTCGAATAAAAGTCCTTCGTTTCCAGCGAAAGAAAATATTCCTGATAAATATAATGTGTAAGGTAAATTGGTATGATTTGTAAGCTGTCATTTTACTAGCATACTATGACATTATTATCGAAATTTCGAATCGATCGATCGAAAATTTAATCGAACGATAAATAGTTGAATACATTATCAATTTTGTTTGCATTCACCCTATTTAAGGAGGACCCATATTTTTGGTAATATTCAACAGGTTATTCTTTTCTAAAATCATTTCTGTGTTTGATTTGAAAAATCAAATTTCTAAATAACAATTTTCTTTGACATATTTTCTGCTTTATTGACCAGTTACTTTTCTCGAAAAATCTATTTATGTGGTGTTTCTCTTGTATGTTTTCGTTATTCTGTGTGTTTAGTGGGACGGGGATTAACAGCAAATATGCTGAACTTTATAATTCAATATCAAGCAATAGTTCCAAAAAGAGCAATACACCATGTCTTGAACATTTGTATTTCTAACTGGACGTCATATGATTAACTATAGACATGACTCACGAAAACTGTCGATATGCATGTGAGTCTGTTATCTTCCTAGCTTTAAACACCAGACGTGTAAACATAAATGCAAGTGTACAGGTACGCACGTGTAATGTGGTTGATTTTTCTAGTTCTTCTTTTGTTTTATTTCAAAGATGAAACCTTATAGAGTAAGTGTTAGTTAATTTTCCCATAACGTGTAAACTATTGCTTTGTTGGCGGGACGAATCTATATTGATGGAGCCGTTCATCCCCAGTTTGACTTCTCCATATGATATTTGTTTCACCTGCATAGGGGATATATATGTAACACTCAGAAACGTGTCCTCCCCCCCCCCCCCCCCCCCCCCCCCCCAAACGTGTCCGATTCCCCCAAACGTGTCCACATGACGTCACTGAACTGCAAAACATGTTTAGTTGTAAAAGGGCGCCAAAGCGTGTCATTTGTATGAACGCCCAAACGTGTCCATTTTATAATAAACGCCCAAACGTGTCCAATCCCCCAAACGTGTCCATATCAAGCGTTATTTGGTTATTGCTATTTCATTAACGTATACTAATTTTCCCATTTTATTAAAAAATAAAAATAAAGTACGTTAGGTCTTTTTTAAACCGGCGTTATAAACCGGGTTAAAGCGGGGGTGTTATTTAGGCTATGTCGTATTTAAATGTAAGTAAACATGTTCAGTTAAATTGTACAGATACCTGGTCCAAAAGTCCTTTTCTCTGTGCATTAAAACATGTATGTTCGCTCTAAATATGCATGAAATACGTGCAACTGGACAATCCGCAATCAACAGTCTAAAGTTAATTTATACAGTACAAATTAAATTTGTAATTACGGTAATCATTAACAACCGGCGTTGATCACATAATAATCATATTAATAACAAAAATCTATAAAACCATTGCTAGAAAAAATACATTTTTATTTTGCTATTCGTATCTGGTGTCTGTTTATTTGAAAACAGAAGTCTTTTATGTCATCTTTAACAGTGGAAAGCGTGCCTAGTCTAGGACACTTATCTATTCGTATCACTACACCTCTTCTCCAGAAACCGCTGCTAAAAACCGCAGTCCCTTTGTTCATAGCAGGATTGGTTCTGTAGTCAACTATATCTCCTTCATTATAAAACATGTAGCTGGTCATATCGTCCAGGGAGTTTTTACCAAACAATTCAACGGGATACATTTGTTCACTATCAAAATATTGCGTGATACCAGTGTTGAAAAATCCATGTGTGGACTGGTTCCCATTAGTTTCCTATTAAGTTTAAATGAAACAAAAGTTAAAAAGTAAAACATTTGTTTGTTTTATGAATCTTAAATATGTGTTTGCAAATTTTACTTGAAACAAAACTTAATTTTTCAAAACCATTTTTAAATTAACGCAAAAATTGAGCTAACATGGAAACTTAATACAATATATGCATGTATAAACAAATAATTTGAACAATTATTAAATGTTGGATATTTTTATTTTGTTTTTTTTTTGTTTTTTTTTTTTAAGTATTTTGAATATTTTTTATAAAGAAATACCTGTAAATGGATCCTTTTGCTTGGACTTTCTGCGCTTATTAAAGATGGGGGTCTTCCAAATCTTTTTCTATACATTTCACTGTAGTAAGGGGAAGCTGTGTTATTTTGTACCACCTTAAAAATACCATTCACACATATTTTAAATATACAAAATTATTCTATATTATGATAAATTTTGTTATATGAAATGTATATTAAGACTATCTGTTTTAAAAATAAAAATTCTAACTGAAATGTGGTTTATAACCATGTAAAACATAAAACAAAAATTTCTTTGAAGACCCTTTAAGTAGCATGACCAAAATTTGCATCTGGGTCGTTTAAATAACATTTCATTACAAACTGTACAGATTTATAAGCACCTTAATTATTGAATATGTATTTTATTTCACAAGAAAGTGTTTACTACTGTCCAGTTGGAAATATTAAATCCGTACAATAACCAGTAAATGTTTCAAAAATAAAATGAAGATTGTTTATTGTAGGTTTTTATGTGTACCTGGTTTTCTTTCTCTTCCATTACTTATACTTGGCAGCTCTGCACGTTTTCACTTGTTAAACTTATTTCCTACAAAAATATTAGTATTCAACATATTAGTTCAAAATCAGTATTATTTATTGAGTATACCAATACAAATCAGTTCAGCATTAAAAAACAAGCGTACTGAAACAATGTATTTTCGTTTTTTTTTATTGGCGTTGTTTAATATTATACATGTAGTAATATAGGTCACAAACAGTGGTCATACAACTATTTAGCCAAAAACATGTTTAAAGATTGAAATGCTCAATATATGATAACAGATGGTTAGATCATTAAAAAGTAAAGTGAAAATGCAAGAAAAAATCCATTATAATTAATTTGGTTATAGATAAAAAAAAATGTGTTTGTTAATATACTCGGGGTACACACACTATATTCTTTTTAGGTACTTTATCTTCCATCATACAATCTTGTTGCGAGATAATTTGATTAGTTTGGTCTTCAGTTATATCCTTGGTAGGCGAGGCGATGTCATCGAGTAGTTGTAATGTTTCTAAAATTAAATTCTTATAAGTTACTTTTACAGACAATAATGGAATAATAATAGCATTGTACTCTATAATTCACTAATTATTTTTGGCATTTATAAATATTTATCTTTTTTTCCTTTATGGTTTCCTGCAATTTAGAATACGGTTCGTGTTGGGTACTTGGTTTTTATCTATAGGATCCTACAGTTTTTACACAAAGAAGATAAAAGTAGTTATTGTGTATTTGTAATTTAAGAAGTAGTTTTAAAATGGTACAGCGTTATATTCGTAAGGATGTATTTTTCAATTAGGATTTAATAAAGGTTAGGGTTAAGTTCACGTTGATAAGGGTTATAGGTTAGTTCAGTATTGGTTAAAATAAGCTATAAAATTCGTGAAGTAAATCTATATATATAAGTAATTATGTTTTGAAACCTTTGAGCAGTTAAATGTAGTAAATCAAGTTTGCAAAAAAGTAAGAAAAATATTCATACTTTACGGATACAACTATAAGGGAAGGCAATACATTTATAAAATAATTTAGTTTTTAATTTTGCTTTATCCCATCATTTGAAATTTAAATTATTTAAGCATGTACTTGCAATAGTATATTAAGTTGAATACCTTCTAATGATATCTGGTCATCGTTCTCATCAGTTGCCGTATCCATAATATTCTCCTGCTGATTATTTTCTGGTTTGATTTCACTCTCATTTTCTACTTCGTCGTCAACATCAAGATGAGCGTTTCTTAAAAACAATCTTTCTTCTTCAGTTAAATTTTGGTATGGTATCTGAAATATACACAAGTTTATTATTATATTTCATAACTTAAGCTGTTCATTCTATTTCTGTTACGGTTAAGTTAATTATAGTTTTTCCTTCTGTCATAACGGGACATTTTATAGTTTACCATCTTGCGTCCTAAACATGCATGAAATATTTGTCACTGGACGTTAAGTAACCAACAATCAATTTATTATTTAGCAATGGTTTTTATTGCAATACGTTACCATACAAATAAATTGTTGACCTGTCGCACCTTAAACAGTGTTAAACAATTAAAGTTTAAGATTTATGAAATATTTTTCTGTGTCTCTAAGATATAGGGAAGTTTTAAAATTAAATACAAAATATGCAGTGTATAATATAATATAGAATGTATTTGAACACAGCTTAAAACATTTAAATTGTGTTGCAATCTGAATATCTTTATAATATATTATTTTTATGAACGTTCTAATTGAAACATTAACATAAATTGCATAATTACAAACCTGTTCCTCCACCGGTGTAGCAAAATTTGGTCTTTTGAAATACATTTGATAAGGAGTTAACGGCTTGGTTACTGAATTAACTCTTTTGTTGTAGGTATAGTAGAAATGTGGAAGTTCTTCAACCCAATCTTTTACAGTGCTCATTTTTACACGAAAACATGTGGTCATTGTCCTGTTAAATCTCTCTACTCTTCCTTGACTCTGCAGATGGTACGGTCTGCCATGTATTTGTTTTGACTTAAACTCCTCAACGACTCCTTCTAGATCCTTATTGGTGAATTCTTTACCATTATCCGATTGTAATATACGCGGTGCACCATAAAGGTTAATAAATTTTAAGACAATGTCAGCAATTTCCTTTGCCGTTTTGGTTTTTCTAGCACATCCAAACGCAAACCTGGAATAACAGTCTAGAATGTTGCAGACGTAATTATATCCTTTGTAACAAGGCATTTTCTTCAAGTCAATCTGCCACCGACTATTTGGGTAAGTGGCTAGAATTGGTTTTCTAGTCCTTGTTTTTTTAGGGAGTTCCACAGCTGCATTACAGCTAGAGCAGTTAATTTCATTTTTGAATAGCATTTCTATACTCTCTCGTCCTACGGGAAAAACAGCATGTCTAATTGTCTCATAGATTGTATCATTTTTCCTGTGGTCTGTTTCGTGATTTATCTTTATTATCTGTATTAGCTCTAATTTGGTTACGCAACTTTTGATAATTACGGACACGTTTGGGGGGATCAGACACGTTTTGGGGATCGGACACGTAGGGGCAAGACACGTTTGGGAGTGTTACATATATTTCCCAACTTATTCGCTATTCAATAGCTTGCAGGCTGCTACTTTTAAACGTCACAAGTGTCTGAGCAGATAGTTGATGAACAAAGGGTATGTCAAAGAACGTCTGGCCCTTTTTCTAAAACAATTCTTCGAAAGGTACCAAGACCTTGTTGATAAATATTTCATATCAACTTTACAAATAATACACGACGGTCTTGAAGTATAGATTCTGGGTTTTGATGTTATGCGCATCTTAACAACGTGATATACATGTTATATTATTGTTTTATTTGTCCTTATGGATATTACTTTTACTGTGTAGTCTGTACCTCTACATTGTATACCTGTCATTGTGTTATTGTGCTATGGTAAATTTTGAATTCTTTTTTTTTCGTTTTTGCTTAAGTGCTTTGTTTTATAGTACTTGTTGTGTTTCTTTGTTACACATGACGTGGCTCTGTACTAATACATCTCGTCATTGTGTTATTTATCTTTGGTGATTTTTTTTATTCTTGTCTTTCATGTTTACTAATGTGCTCTTGCACCTCAGACTTACACATACTAGAACTTTATTTATAATCAAGTCAAATGAGAGCCAGTTGAATAGGGGAGCAATTCAAGCTCCCTGGAGACTCTAATTATGTTTGGCATTGCAGGTTCTTAATAAGATGAATTTTAAGCTTTTCCCAAAAAAAGACTATGTTAAACTTTGGACTCATAGTGCTCAGAGCCACGGATCTCTGTACCTTCATTTGTACACACTTGAATCTTAATGTACTACTTGGGCTTGATGCAAATTATAACTGCATTGCTATTGTTGGTTCTTAATGAGATTCTTCAAGCGTCCTCCCCATTGAAGCCCTATTAAAACTTTGTACCACAAGTTCTTTTAACCACTGTTCCCCAGGACAACTATTCCTACAAACTTAGAGGGAGGGTTGGGATCCCGCTAACATGTTTAACCCCGCCACATTCTTAGTGTATGTGTCTGTCCCAAGTCTTTAATTTACATATTTGTTTTTCGTTTATTTTTGTACATAAAATAGTCTGCTAGTTTTTCTCGTTTGAATTGTATTACATTTATCATTTCGGGGCCTTTTATAGCTGACTATGCGGTATGGGCTGTGGTCATTGTTGAAGGCCGTACGGTGACCTATAGTTGTTAATTTCTGTGTCATTTGGTTTCATGTGGAGAGTTGCGTTTTTGAACAAACCAGCGTATCCCAAAGCCTTGATAACCTCTGTAGGCCCCAAATAAGACGAAAAAACATCAAAATTGGAAAGGAAACTGAAAATAAATGGTTTCTAACCTCAGGGATATTAACCCTTGGCATGCTGAATTGTTCTCAGAAATTGTCTAGATTTCGAGTATTTGTAAATATATGCAAATGATATGCAAGTGAGCTGTACCCTGATGCTGATGCATACTGATTGCATTAAATCTAAGATAGCCAAGGGTTAATATCCCTGAGGTTAGAAACCATTTTTTTTCAGTTTTCTCTCCAATTTTGATGTTTTTTTCGTCTTATTTGGGGCCTACAGAGGTTATCAAGGCCTTGGGATACGCTGGTTTGTTCAAAAATGAAACTCTCCACAAGAAACCAAATGACACAGAAATTTACAATTAAAGTCACCGTACGGCCTTCAACAATGATCACAGCCCATACCGCATAGTCAGCTATAAAAGGCCCCGAAATGACAAATGTAATACAATTCAAACGAGAAAAACTAGCGGCCTATTTTATGTACAAAAATAAACGAAAAACAAATATGTAAATTAAAGACTTGGGACATACACATAAAGAATGTGGCGGGGTTAAACATGTTAGCGGGATCCTTACCCTCCCCTTAAGTTTGTAGGAATAGTTGCCATGGGGAACATAGGTTAAAAGAACTTGGGGTACAAAGTTTTAATACGGCTTCAATGGGAAGGACGCTTGAAGAATCTCATTAAGAACCAACAATAGCAATGCAGTAATAATTTGCATCAAGCCTCAGTAGTTACTGTACATTAAGATTCAAGTGTGTACAAATGAAGGTACAGAGATCCGTGGGTCTGAGCACTATGAGTACAAAGTTTAACATAGTCTTTATTGGGAAAAGCTTAAATTCATCTTATTCAGAACCTGCAATGGATGCAGGACTTCATAATTTACACAAATCTGTACATGCCAAACATAATTAGAGGCTCCAAGGAGCTGGAATTGCTCCCCTATTCATATGGGTCTCATTTGACTTGATTATAAATAAAGTTCTAGTATGTGCAAGTCTGAGGTGCAAGTGAATAACTTTAATTAAGCTTGATTGCATATAGTGTTCATTATTCTAAAAAAAAAAAGAGATGAATTTGTTTCCGCTACAAACTTTGCCTTTACTGACAACCATTTTGAAATGGCTATCGCATCAAAAAGTGAAAAGTTAAACAATAAGGTTGCCGTTATTATCACATAGCGGTCAGGAGTCTGTAATTCAGTTGAATTGTCATTTGTTGCTGTGATACATATTCGTTTTTCGGTCTTTGTTTGTACATTATTGAAACCGTTATTTTCACTCGTTTGAATTAAATTATTAAACAGCTGTCATGTCGGGGACTCTCCCTCTGGTATCTTTTGTCCCTCTTTTATAGCTGACTATGCGGGGGCTTTTCTCATTATTGAAGGCATTATGATGACCTATAGTTGTTAATTTCAGTGTCATTAAGTCTCTTGGCAATCATAATACATATTCTTATATATATATAGCGATGTCGTTATTACGACATAGCTATGTCGTAATTACGACATGTTTTTTTTTTTTTTTTTTTGAATGGCCCTTATCGGCTTCCGTATGATAGTAAAGAAAGTTATCAGAAAATCGAACTGCACAGACGAAACCCCATATACAAGGGTGTCTTTTTATTAAATTCATTTATATTTTGTTGTCTTTTTTATCATTAGTTTAAGCGATTTTTTTTATATCAATCTGAATATGATGATAGATATTAAATATTATAAAAAGTATTTGATTTTTTGACATGTTCAAATACTTGCCTGTTGATTAAAATGTTTGAATATTGTGATGTAGAGTGTTGTAATTTTTAAGCATTCTTGCGCATTACAAAAAATACTGAAACTAAAGTGTTTGTGCCGGCAGTCACTGCTTCTGTGCTTTGAAGTTACATATTATTTATACGATCGTTAACTGAAAATTGACTGTCAGGAAAAGTTAACTATCACCCAAACACTTTTTATTCTATCCTATGAAACAAGAACCACACATTTGTTCTACTTTTAGTAAAAACAGTTCAAATTTTGCTTCACCAGATGCGCATTTTGACAATTAGTGTTTTTTAAGTGATACTGGAGTTCAAAACCTAATGCAATCAAACAATATCTTGGGTTTTTCACACCAGTACCACTGGAAACTATGCTGACAGTCCGCTAGCAGGGGTATCGACCTAGTGGTAGTATTACCATTAATGATATCAATTTTATTGTACCAGAAGATTAATTCGACAAATAATTTCTCTTTGATGATGCTCCAGACAAGGAATAGAGCTATGCACGAGAGAGATAATCCTTTTATTCAAAAAGATTTCAAAATGTTGTTACAGAAAATTAAAATTAAACAATACCCGTATTTTCAAGCCAATATTAATGGGTTTATGGTATTCAGTGCTATTTAATTTCGTAATTGAATTGATCTCCCATCTGTTTTGATTCGAACGTCACTGCTGAGTCATATGTAGACGACATTTGTATCTTCATTATAAAACTTGTATTTTTTATGAGTTAAAACATCAATTTGAAAATTTGCTGTGTACTTTTTTTTTAAATTACGGATGTCATTCCAAAAACACTCATGTATGACAACATGGAACGGCAAAATAAGTTTATAGTTTTTACCGTAACTTTTTTTATTCACCTTTAGTTCTTCCAAGTGTTCCTTTGGTCCTATACCAGATATCATCAGTAATTGTGGTGAGTTTACGGCACCCGCTGATAAAACAACTTCTTTGTTGGCAGAGACGATCATTTTACGCCCGTTCTTTATTATTTCTATGCTGATTGCAGTTCTATTTTCTATCAATATCTGAAAATAAGTATTACATATGATTTTATTAGGTTTTATCTTATAACAAACTGTAATAATTTTAAATAGATAAATTTTGAACCAATACCTGTCATCTATATTTATGAACACAATAAAGTCGAAGAAAAAAATATTTCAATGCTAGTTGGTTTCCTTTGAATGGTCAACCTTTTTCCTCAAATGCCAAAGTCTATGTGCTAAGGTCCGTGTATATTTGTATATTTTTTCTCAAAAACCAAAATGAAAAACAAAAGTGTTTTCGTTTTTCGTTTTTGATTTCTCTAAAACCAAAACGGAAAACGAAAGTGTTTTCATTTTTTGTTTTTGATTTCTCTAAAACCAAATTGAAAATCAAAAGTGTTTCCGTTTTTCGTTTTTGATATCACTAATGATGAATTTTGTATGTAATTTTAATTATTTCTCGTTTTATTATGTACAATGTTTTCCTTTCTTGTTTCACAGTCATTGATGGTAAATAATGCCAATGTAAACACCCCGGTGTTCTTTCAACATAATGTAGACAAAATAGACCGCCTGACTTATGAATTGAACTACGGTGATAAATGAATCAAAGCCTTTCAAATTACCTTGTTTATATCTTTATTAAAAAAAAATATTTAATTAAAATTTTAAACGAATCATAAATTTAAATTGTACAATATAATATTATATAAAGATGGTACAAATAGATAGATATATTACAACATCAAATTAACAAGGGAGGTTACTGCTTTTAAAACTGATAAGAAAACTAGCCCAGTCGTTAAAGTATACATGCACAGCGGTTATCAGATCTATAGTATTTAAATCGAAGTTAATGTCGAAGGATGCAAAAGTCTTTATCAATCTGAACAATAAGGGTGCGTGATCTTTATTCTTAAGCTAAGAAAGGTTGATCTAAGATGATTAGAATTGATGACCAAGGTCCATCTGCCAGTATTATACGAACATTCAGGACGATAATGTGTTTTGCCTGATCAATTGATTGAAAAACAAATTTGCGTAATTTCACAATTCAAACCGGAATTAGCATTCAATTATTTTGCCATTCGGAGCCTATTCGGTATTAGTTTTGCTTATTTGTGAAAGCTGTTTGGTGACCTTAACTGGAGGGTGTGGATTGGGGGTTTACGGAATAGAGAATAGTGGGCAAAAAATATAAATAAAAGAGACAATGAACTAAGACATAAAAAAATAGAATAATGAGGTGTTTAAATATGAATAGAACAAAATAGTTGGCAATAAATAAAAAGAAATAAAGAATAGAAATAAATGGCCTAAAACACTAATTAAAGAATAGAAAAAAATGGTATAACATATCAAAGAATACAGACCATCGTACTAGTTGCCTAAACCAACGTTATTTTGTCTCCGGTAGATTGTTATTGGTTATCATACGTTTTCTTTTTATTTCTATGTCTATCAATTAAGACTTGAGCTTTCATAATTTGCCAGCTTATT